AGAGCAAAAGTTCTAAGATTGAGCCCTGAGGTACCCCACTTGTGACAATAATCCAGTTTGACTGAACTCCATCTGTAACAACCCTCTGCTTTTTTCCATTCAGCCACTCTTATCCAATTTGCTATCCTATCCCCCACACCTATAGAGGTAAATTTTTCAAGCTTTCTACATGACACCTTGTCAAATGCTTTCTGAAAATCCAAGTACACCAAATCTACACCCTTACCTTCATCTACATAAGCAGTAACCTTTTCAAAGAATGTCAAAAGATTTGTAATGCACGATTTTACCTTAGTGAAACCATGTTGACTATCCAATAAAATTCTAAACTTTGTTAAATAGCTTTGCAAAGTATCTTTTTTTTTATCAGACTTTCCAAAACTTTTCCCACAACCGATGCAAGATTAATGGGTCTATAATTACTGAGACAATTTTTATCACCTCCTTTGAATAGAGGAGTGACATCAGCTAACTTCCAATCCTGGTACCTGCCCACTATTCAAAAAAAAAACCTTGGGGAAATATTATATGGCTCAGGAACCTTATTGTTCTTTAAACTTCCCAATTTTTTCTTAACATGCTCGTAATTAATGAAGTCATCTTTTTCGATCTTGTTTCCATCTGTCAAATCTTCAAGATGTGAAATACTGCTTAAATCTTTGTTAGTATAAACTGAAGAAATAGCAAATTTTAATAACCCAGCCATCTCATAATCATCCGATACAAGCCTTCTTTTATCATCCCTCAAGGGTCCTACCCCTATTCTAACATTTTGTTTATCTTTAATATATTTAAAGAAATCCTTACTGTTAATTCTCCATATGCAGCACAAAGTTGAACCTAACAGAGCAATTATCACTTGCACCCAGATGTTCCCCAATTTCCACCCTCTATCATTTCTATATATGAAGTTACCAATAATAGCATTGTGTCCTGTATGTTCCTTGACTAATTGGTAAAGAAAGCAATCTTGAACAGTTCTGAAAACCTTTCTCCCTGACAGTTTGACTCTTAACATTTCCATGTCTATATGCCTCACATTTAAATCACCCATAATTATGACTTCATTAACAGCTAAATTCTTAATCTCATTGTAAAGTTTCTCACTAATCTCATCAGTATCATTTGGTGGTCTATAACAAATTTCCACTAAAAGCCTTTTCCCTTTATATCCACTAATAGAAACCCAAATGGATTCAATCTCCTTGCTATTATCTTTGATATCCTCAACTTCAACAGGATGCAACTTACATTTTATATAGAAAGCCACTCCTCCCCCTCTTTAATACTCTATCCCTATTAAATAGCCTGTCACCCTATATTTCAAAGAACTTTTTGTCATCGAAATCATCTACGTTTAACCACGTTTCAGTTATTCCTATAATATCAAAATCCTCTATTCCTATCAGTGCCCTAAGGTCATCTATTTTATTTCTTATACTTCTAGCATTACAATTCTAAAAATTAAACCTACTCGTATAACTACATCTATACTCATTTCCTATGTTAATCTTTTATCTGCCTCTTATTCTTTTTGTATTTAGTTCCCTTCAAGGTGGGTTCCTGTACGTGGTGAGGGGACCTCCAAGAGAAGGTTCTGTATTTTTAGTTTACCACCTCTGGGATCTAAACATCCACCCACGTGTTTGCCGTGCATGTCGACCCATGAAGGGGAGGATCCTGGTGGTTGAGTGGTGTCTGCGGCACTGCAACACACCACCTTGGTTTTGAATTCCTGTAGACAGGTGGCCTTGGGGTGAACCCCCAGGGTCTACCAGCTGGTCCTATTGGGCTAGGGTCAACTGAGGAGCAGTGTTGGGCATTCTCAAGTGGGTGTTGTGGACATTGCGTCTGATGCTGGTGTTTGGGTACAGTGCTCACGAAATCCTGGTGTTGTTGCAGTGCCCTTGTATAGCATTGTATTGCATTCCCACAAAGGGCTCCGTGGTGGGTGAGGTCAGTGGACACTGAATCTTTCTCTTTTTATTATGGATCCCCCTAATCCTAAAAAAAATAAAATTGTAAAAATATAGCTAATAGGTAAATGACCACATCTTGAAGACTAACCAGCAATCTTCAACTCATTCTGAACCTGTACCTCATTTTCTGATATTGCATTCCCTGTCAGACAAACTTTTAGAGCAAATGTATCCCTTTTTTCATTCAAAAGTGATTAGAGGGGCTTGCTGGCAGTCCAAGGTCAGTCAACAGTCTGGGAACATCTTGGTGGAAACATCAACACCAAAACACAATGAACTCCTCTTGAATTCAAAGGCCATTAAGGATATATTCATTGAGGTTACTCCCCATTCTACTTTGATTACTTCATGAGGAGTTATTGTTGAGAGGGATTTGAAAACATCCCCCAGTCAGAGATTCTCACTGGTTTCT